ATATATATATATATATATTTCTTTTTTCTTATTTCGTTAATTATTAAACAATATCAATGAAGTAAGAGATCAATGAAATTATTATTATTATTAATATTATTATTTATTATTGCATTTTATTTATAGTTATTTTATTTTTTGTTGTTCAATGTATTAACTCAACATTAGATACATCAATCATCCCATCCTGTCGTATAGAAATAAAACTAATTTGTAGGAAAAGATAATTTATAGGTAAAAATCTCGTAGAGAAAAAATTCGTCTAAACTAACGAGGGTATATAAGAACGATAAAAAAAAAAAAAAGGAAAAAAAGAAAAGAAAGAAAAGAAAGAAAAGAAAATAAAAAGCAAAACAAAATAGCCAACAAGAAAAAGGGCCACTTAGATTCGTTGATCGATTAATTGATCAATCATTCGAACGTAAAAGAAGATTGACTACCCTTTTCTTTTAATTTTTCTTGTTTTCTTTTTTCAGTTTTAAATAGTCTCTTGTCTTTTTTTCTTCTTCTTCTTCTTCTTCTTATTATTATTATTATTGTTATTAATTGGCATTAGAAACTCGAAAGTTCATTAAACGACCAAAGTTTCAGTATTAGGCACATTTTTAGTTTACTGTGGAATTTAGTTTGAAAGTTTCCTTGCGTTTTCCATTTTTTTTTTTTTTTTTGAGCAAACGGCACATCTTATAAATAAAAATAAATTAAATAAATATAAATAAAATACATAGCGGTCGTATTGGTAATATAAAAGGAAACATATCACCAAATAATATTCTTATTACGTTTTATTTAGATTTCGAATTTTTATAGTGAATGGTAATTTTGTTATTTTACGCGACAAGTATACACGTCAAACGCATTGCAGTAGAGACGTGTATACACGTCGAACGCACTTAACTGGTTAATACTCATCGTTGCTATATATATATATGTGTTCTATATCTATCTATCTTTCTCTTTAATTTTCTAATTGTCTCTCTCTTTCTCTCTCGTTTGCTCTTAATATTTGTCGAGAAACTTTAAAGATCGTTATCGATATTAATTTAAGCGACTACTTGACGCGTACTGTAACCGAAAACTTCTCAACGGTATAGTCTTAATTGATGAAACTTTGAAATTGCATTTTCTGAGAAAGAGAAAAGAAAGATAGAGAGAGAGAGAGAGAGAGAGAGAGAGAGAGAGAGAAGGAGGAAACCTGTAGCTAACAAGTTTCACGTTCGTTGCGTGTAATACAAGAACATCTTATACACACACACGCATATATTACATATTATATATACAAATAAATTTAACAAATACATATATATATATAGATGTATGTATATAAATTAACATTTTTAATATTATAAAGAAAAATTCGTAGTGAACGAGTTATACGATCTTTGCATGTAACACAAAAACACATTTTATAACAAACCCATAGCAACACGTGGCCGAAGTCATCCTATTATTGGGTTGTTCGAAAAGAATTATTTTATATTTCTATGATATATTTTACACTCAAATATAATAGAAAATTGAAAATGAGAATGTGAAAGCAAAGTAAAAAGAATCTTTAAGTTTTATCATTCTCACTTAGGCTTAATCCTATATGTTAGCCTCTTTTTCTCATCTTACTTAGTATCGCGTGGCCGTTTCATCGTCGCGTTACAATCGCGCCACGTTTCATTTTTTCAAATCACCTCCATTCTAAAGAAGTTTTCACTTCAAAAAAAAGGTAAACATGCTGAAGCATAATAATTTTCTATTACATTACACTGATCGAACGGATTGGAAAGGTTGGAATCTTTTAAAGTAATAATAGTTGATAATAAACGCGTTTTGTTCGAAATTAAACGTAAAGGAACACATTTTCTTCTCTTCGATAAAGAAGAAGAAGAAGAAGAAGAAGAAGACGAAGAAGAAAAAAAAAAAAGACCAGAAAGAAAAATAGAAGTAAGAAAAAAGGGGAAAAAAAAAAGGTACTTTAAAATCTTGACCGGTTTTCCAACGTTCCAACGTTAAATATCTTTCCTCTATTGTAACGGATTTCAACTTTGATAGCAAACCCGATAACTTTCTCGATCAGATACTTTCTTTCGTGTTTGCACGTTTCAACAAATAATGCACATCAACTACCAACCCATCTATAAAACCATTTTCTTCTTCTCACACTCTCCCTCTCTCTCTCTCTCTCTCTTTCTTCCTTTATACCATATTACACACATATATATACATATATATATATACGATACACGTACACATAAAACATATATACAAGGACAAGTGTAATCTTATATATTTCTCTCTTTTATAAATACACATATATATATATATATATATATATTGATTTGTTCGGAAATAAGTATCGTTTATCGTTACTCACGTTTTTACTTCAATACTTATTTTTTAATCTTATTTTTTAATATCTAGAAAATAATTATCTAACACACGTTTAATATTGACATTTGACAAAAATGTCATTTAACTCTTTGCGGCACAGAATTTCAGATAATAAAGTATTCCTACTATGTTGCACGTTTTTAAATTAAACAAAATTGATATATATATATATATATAATATTTTTTATTAATAAAGGTATTACAAAAATGTACAAAACATTAATAACAATCAAATTAATAATCAATTGCTTAGGGTAAATAAGACGAAATATAAAGTTATGAGCATGTGTAACTATTGTAATAATATTTCTAAGTAATGGGACACTAAAAATGTCCCATGTTGGTGCATTACGTTGTATCGAAAAGGTTGGAAATTTTTAATCCCACCGTCGCCCCAAAGAATTAAACGACAAGGATTTTATTAAATAATGTTCAAATTAAATTATCGATTAGAAATGTAAGTTTAAAGAGAGAGAGAGAGAGAGAAAAAGAAATAGAAAGAACTTTTTAGACAAGTAGAATTTAATTAAATGACATCATTTAAGATGGATTTCCACACATCTTTTGATTTTAAATGAAGTATTAAATTCGTTTGTGCAATTATTATTGAAAAATACGAAATTACTTTTTTCAACAATATATTATTATCTTTACAAGCACACATATACATCTTTCATTCTTTTACAGTTTCTATCTTTTTAAATATTCTCTTTGTATCATCTTGAATTTTAATTTCATTTCCTTTCTCTTTCTCTCTCTCTCTCTCTCTCTCTCTCTCTTTCATTCTGTTTTTTTTCCCCTTTTTTTTTCATATAATTTTTTATCTCTTTCTATCTCATCTTGAATTTTATTCTCGTTCTCGTATTTTTCCTCTCTCTCTCTCTCTCTCTCTCTCTTATCTTTCGTTCGTTCAAATGACATGTGTGTGAATGTGTGTGTGTGTGTGCTTTTTATGCCCATATATTTTCTTCATGTATATTTTTCTCTCTCTTTCTTTACATCTAACAATCCTATCCGTCTCTATCTATCTATTTCTTTTTCTATGTTTCTTTTTACGTTTGATATGGTGCACGAAACGCACTAACCATAAAAAAGGGTAAACTAGGTTTCCTCTTATTGGATCATCAATCGCTTGGGAAAAACCATACGATAGGTTCGATTGGCTGGACAAACATGAAAAAGATCCACGTGAAATTTTTGTTCACCCATTTTCTAAAGACTTTTCCTTCATTTTCCCTTCTTTTTTTTTTTTTTTGGTTTTTTTTTTATCTTCTCTTCTCTTTTTCTTCTTCTTTCATTCGATTCTATTTTCTATACCTTTTCTTTTTTCTTTTTCTCTTTTCTTTCTATTCCTTATTGCTTTAACACACACCCACACACATACGCACACATATATATACACTTTTACCCCCCCCCCTCCTCCTCCTCCTCCTCCTTCCTTCCCCATATCTTACAGTCACTCTCCATCATAGTTTCTTGTTCATCGAATATACGCGTTCAAGAGAAAAGAATTTAATGGAAGTCAACTTTGTTAACGCGATTTCCACCATCTTTCTTTTNTAATATATATAATATTATATTTATAATATAATATTTTATAATATAATATTATTATATATATATTTATAATATAATATTTTATAAAATATAATAATATTATATTATAAAATTATATTAATATAAATTATATTATATATATGTATATATTATTTTTTGGAGGGAGATTTATTATAGAAAAAGTTAAAAATAAATTAACAAAATATAATATTATAATATTATAAAACAATAATACCAAATATCCTTTCATTATTACTTCTTTACCTTAAATGAATATTTGATTTTACGATCGTGGGGATAGGGATGGGATAAAAAAGAATTAAGGATGATTTCATGTTAATGGAAGTCCTCGGCATACTAACTTGAAAAGATGCTGTAATCGCTGATATAACTTCGTAAGCGTGTTCCCAAGGGTGTTCCTTTGGTGGTCTGAAGGGGATGACTAGATAGTGGAGTCCAAGAAGTGGTACCAATAACATCGTTGCTCTAGATTTTCATAAAATTAAATTACATTCATTAATTTAAATATAACATTCTATATATAAAAAAAAAATATTTATTGATATAATATATAAATAATAATTATATAATAAATTACCTAAAAGCTTGAAGCATTGACCTTGATGGACGAGTTCCTATTGCTGGACCAGCACGCAATTTCATCAATAAAACACGTACAATGTTGAAGAGAAATAATACATTCAACAAAGTTGAAACGCATACTGGATAAACCAATGCACCCATGTAATTACCCTCGTTGATCCAACATCTATAAACAATTTAAAAAATAACAAATCATTTGTTATTTACAAATATTGTTATATTTTATTACAAATCATTGCAATCAAAATTGCAAATCATTTTATTTTTATTTTTATTTTTATTTTTATTCTTATCTTCCCTTTCTTCTTCTTCTTCTTCTTCTTCTTTTTTTTTTCTTATTTTTTGTTGTTAATAATGACAACGAGTATAAAAGTGCCAATGCACCTCGAGTTTTCCGATATTTTTCACAACAGTTTTTTTTACTCATGCCACTTTGAAATTATTCACACACATACATATACAGAGAGAAAAGAAGAAGAAAGAGAGAGAGAGAGAAAGAGAGAAAGAGAGAAAGAGAAAGAATGCGTTTAAAAAGTTTGTTCTCTATATTTCCGACGTGCAAAAGTTTCTACGACTGCATCATAAATAGTTTCTAAAACTACCAATGAAATTTTTCTGTCAATCGAAAATAGATTTCTATTGTTTATGAGGAATTCATTTCTCTTTTTTTGTTTTTTTTTTCTTATCTCGTCCAAATTTTTTTTTTCCCCCCTCCAATATTTATTAAAAATTATTATTATTATTATTATATTATCATTGATAATTTGTGGTTGTTACGTCGTTCAACTTTGTTCTACTTTTTTTTATTTTTTTTTTTTATTTTTTTTTTGTTTTTTTTTTTCATATATCAGAATCTTGAATTAAAATTTTGAAGTTAAATCGATAGTCGGTGATAGAAAAATTTATTGAATTTTTTTTTTCTTTTTTCTTTAAATACGATCCTTGCCAGTTATTCGAAAATATATTCTATTTTTTTCTTGAGGAATAATTTTAATAATAATAATAATAAAAAAAAAAAGAAGGAAAATTTACCGTCACAATTTACCATTACAACCCTTTTTTTTTTGTTACTGTATATCATCAGAGTTTTCACATTTAACCTAGTTTCATATATGTTTAAGTAATGATGCTTATGATGTTAATAGAAAATATAAAATGTAAAATGTATACATGTATACTAAACTTTACCAATATTTAAAAAACAAAAAAGGTTCCTTTTTTCATTTTTTAGCAATTCTACAGGCATAATATTTTTTTACGTTGAATAATGTAAAATATAAAAAAAAAAAATAAAACAGATGTGTGCGGATCACACACGGTAGAAGTTAAACCTTCAAAGAAAACCAAGCTTCGAGACGTGAATATATTGAAACAATTGAATTGTAATACAGTGCCATCTATTGAAAGAACCTTACAGARCCTAGATAACCTCTAAATAAAAATCTTTAAATTATTAATAAAAAATAATTAATAAATAAAAGTTGTGCTATGTGCTAAGTTGGAAAAAATCACTAAGTGAAATAAAATAAATTTCATTAAAATAAGTTAAATAGTTTCGGAATTTATTAGTGGACAAATATATTTTGACACTGAATTTTTATATATAGAATTGTTATTAATTAATTAATTAATATATAGAATTAAATATAATATAGAATTAAGTTATCTATTGAATTTAATTAATTAATTAATTATTTTTGTTTCATTGGTTTCACGGTTTCTTCCGTTTCRCGTTCTTCCGTTTCACAATTTTCAAATTACCCTGATTCTAAAGAAGTTTTCACTTGAAAAAAATAAAAATAAAAAATATATTACTTATAAAATATTGTTCAACTTATCATTACAAAAAAAAAAAAAGGACGAAATTTTCAGGACGATCTAACATTTGCAAAATTTGTTAAACATCTTTATAGAAAAGTTTTTAATTTAATAAAATAAACCTTTTCGTTAATAATCAATTAATTTTGTTTAAACAATTACTTTCTCTCACATAACTTCGACATAATATATTCTCTCTTACTAGAGATAGGAGTGTAAAAGCTTGACTATCGTTATACGAAAGATCGATAGTTGATTCGATACACTTTGTCCAAAGTACACGTTTATTGAGAAAATGTTCTCTCTCTCTCTCTCTCTCTCTTTCTCTCAATCTCATACTCTTTCTCTCTCTCTCTCTCTCTCTCTCTATCTATCTCTCCTTCTCTCTCTTATTGTGTTTCGTCGTGCTCGAGTTAGTCGTGTTCGAGAAAGTTTATGGTTTCATCCTTGTATTGTTCTCGTTGTTCGACATATACGCACACATGCATACACACATACACATACATACTTATAGAAAATATCTCAACACGACTATTATTACCACATATATACTTTTTTTTATCGTTAAGATTTGATAAAAAGTGTGAAATACTCGTTTCAATAATTAAAAGAAAGCAATTCTCTTTTTTTTTTTTTTTATTTTAAAGTGAAAACTTCTTTAGAATGGGTGTGATTTGACAAAAAAAAAAAGAAAAAAACATGTGTATATCACACAAGTTAGAAATGAAATCTTCAAATAAACAAGTTTCGAGGATTTTATATTGTTATAATATTATTTGTACTTTTAATTTGTAATTATTTATTTAATTATTAATTTAATTTATAAAAATGCGCGCCTGTTCGTATGCAACCCTCCAGACACACTTTGAAAATGTTGCTTGCGAGCGCCATCTACTGGAACGAAATTTTTTTCTAATCAAAACTGGTTATACAAGTGTATATGACGGGTTGCCTATCTTTCGGGCAGACAAAAAATTCTGTCCCGACAGATGACAGTGTGTGGAGGGTTGCATTCATACAGGCGCGAATTCTTATAATTAAATAATTAATTATATAAATAATTAGAAATTAAAAGTAGAAATAATATGAAATGAAAAAAGTGTCGTTTAATAAAAAGAAGAAGACAGTAATTTATTTGAATCATTGTCAATCCTTAGATCATTTCTCTCTCACTCGTTTCATTAAAAAAATTTCCTGTGACAAAAGTCATCCCCTAATATTTTCCTACCTTAATTTATTTTAATTTCTACAGTTTTCTCTTTCTCTCTTTTCTTTTTTATTTTTTTTTTTTAAATCCCTTAATATCTCAACGTCAAATTAAATTCTGTTACTTTCTTAGGTTTTTTTTTTTAAATATTTTTTTTCAACAAATCAAACCTGCTCTACTAGTCATTTCACCCCAAACTCATTTTCTTTACTTCTCTACGTTGTAATCTAATTATCATTTAAATGTTTAATTTAAAATGTAATGAAAAGAAAAGAAAAGAAAAGAAAAGAGAAGAAAAGACCCCCCCCCCTCCCAAAAAAAAGAAAATAAAATTAAGCAAAAAAAATCGATAAGAAAATTTATCATCAGTTAGGTAATTGAGGAAAAATATTTAAATAATAAAATTATATATAATAAATATACGTGTTATATTTATATATATATATATATATATATATTATTATTATTATTATTATATTTAATAATAATATTACTATTAAATTATATATTATTATATTAAATATTATTATATTATTATTATATTAATAAATTTTATATATATATATTTAATACTTAATAATTAAAATTATAATTATTAATATACAATATAATAATAATATTATATTATAATAATTTAATAATATATATATATATATACGCAATATGGTTATTTATTAGAAATAAAAATTGTAAAAAAAAAATTGTAAGATATGTAAAGAAAAATATTCTTATGAAAATAATCACTATAAAAATAGAAAAATAAATGAATAATTACTTAACATGATATCTAAACAAAAATTATGAAATCATTTTACTCACTGTTGGCTGTCAACAGGATCGTTGCTTGTTGCCCTTAAAATAGCATAAATGGTAACTATAAGACCTGGCATTGACCAACCAAGTGCCACCAACCAGTTGACCAATCTGTGTTCACTTGTAAACGCCATTACCAATAATGTGTGAAGATAAAATCCTTCGCAAAGCATCCACGCGTAATTTGTTAACAAGAAATAATGAAGTACCACGTGCAATAATCGACATATTATCTAAACGATTTGGAAAAAAAAGACCAAAAAAAAAAAAAGAAAAAAGAAACAAGAAATAATTAATACAGCAAGATAATCATCATATTTGTTCTTATATTGTTATGTAATAAATATTATTTTAGTTGTTTTTTTTTTTTTATTACTTACGTTATTGTTCAACAAAAGATTCGTATTAGCTACCACAAATCCGTACCAGATTAACCATAATAAGTTGTTTAACACGAACGATACGAACAAATTCATGTGCAACGTAATCCTAGCACATCTCAGAGATCTTAAAATAATAAATATTAATATTTTTTATTTAAAATAATGATAATAAATAAATAAAAAATATATATATATATATTATGTTAATATTATTAACATATTATTAATATTGTTATTATTATATATATTATATTAATATATATATATTATTAT